TTTAAACGAAGTGCAATGCTCAGTACGAATCGAATCCGCATAACAGTTAATTGAAAATTAAGGTCATCCCTCTAGAGAAAAACTACTTTGTCTGATTATTTATAGATCTTTACCCCAGTTGATGATAGAAAATTGGACCTATTTGCTTCTATCAATTCGGCCAATCAATGATTCACGGAAACTTAATTATCTTTATGTTCTGTGTGGGGAAAGTCGGCTACCCAAACATTAAAAAAGTTCGCCTGTTTCGGCCAATCCACCACCTACAAGATTCAAAGTTTCCCTTTTATTATTCCCCAGAAAACCGAGGTTTTTCATTAATTTTCCGGTTCTTAATTCAATTAGTTGGTTTCAATGCTACTTGACTTACTTTAGCTCTTTTCCGCCGGTGTAAAGGTAAAAGGCTACTTCAGACCTTTCGAGCTGCATTCGAGTGACGACTTTGCCCAATTCCGTCGCTGCAGTCACCTGAAACTCTTGATTTTAGCAACCGATTAAGCTTCTTAAAGTATTCTTCAAAATACTTGAGGATTTAACGTCTTAAAAATCCCGGTCTCTCCACTGTTGTTTTAGTGCCAAACTATGGAATTGTTTGGCTTTGCGCTCGTTCCAGTATTATACCACTTAATATACTTAACGAAAGTGAAAAAGTTTATTTATCTCAAATTCTATTCAAACATTAAAAGATACAGGATTCTGCGGGTATCGTGTGATTTTCGGGTTATTAAGCCGTCGTCAAAAGAAATTTGGTCCTGACGTTTTGCTAGCACGCATCGGAACCATCCTCAGCGTTATGCCGCATTAGGCAACACCATTTCGAAATTCAATGTTTGTTAAATGAAACTGCTATTTCCATTCTAGAACGTAGCCCGCATCGGTATTCTCGCTCGCACTCATATGCCTCCATGAGCGATGGACGATTGACTGTGCGTTGCCGCGTTCCAAATTGCTACCTTCACGGCTTGAAACTTTCTCGGAAATAACCGACTGCTCGAAAACAAAACTCAAACATTCTCTTGGTTATCTTATTCGTTACTTCGTAGTAACGGCGTGAAGGACACATGCGGTTATAAAATTGGAATAAATCGGGTGTTGAAGAGGAAAAAAATCCAGCAATGATATAACGCAAAAAGGCCCATAAAACTCATTCACCAGAGGCAAAACAAGCTGAAACAACGAGGTTTATGCCATAATATAAAAAAAACTAATCAAAATCTCAGTGGTTGTTGTTTGATTTATAGCCCAGTGCGCTCAAGTGGGAAAATTGGGGTGCATCCATTGAATTCACTTTGGGGCATATGAAACATCAAAAAAATATTCGCTCCAATAAAACTCCACAATGAAAATATCTGGCTCACCACGTACTCATTCTGCTTGTATTCTGTTGTTTACAATAGGTGTGTGTTTTTATTCCTTCAGTATACTTCCCCAAGAGCCATTTATTAAGTTAATTACATTCAACGAATGACTCATTAAAATATATGGACAGGATCATTATCGCTTTCCCGTTAAATATATGTGTAATTAAGGTTTCTGATGTGATCCCAGATCAATATAGGAGCTCAGTTTCGATAACGGAATTCAGTTAAAAGGGCGCTTTAATTGGAAAGTACAGCTTCACTTAGTTTCTTTTATTAAGACACTATTTTCGGTGCTATTCTTGGAGACACACTCAAAATATACCCTTAGGCGTCTGCTAATTTAAGCAATTAGTTGGCGTCCAGTGGTGGTTTATTTGTTTTCGTAGTCTACCGAAGCTTATTTATCCTTCAAATTATTTATTTGATTTATGGTTTGAATTAATGATTAATTCAAAATGAATAGAGAGAGATGAAATGAGGATATTTACAAAAAACTTTAGAATTGTTGGATAAATCGGAGTGGAGTCAATTTCATCTATCTTTAAAGTTCTTGTGCAATTTGAGAGGCTCATTCGAAGTCTGTTCAGCTTTTCAGGTCAACTTAATTACCAAATGTCCTTTAAAGGCGATTGAATGCGTGTTTCATATCCGATGGGATGCTGGTTAGTTCGGGAACTTAATTTAGGTGAAGTCACCCATCTGCTAATTCTGACAATGCTAAGAGCATACGGGCGTTACAAATTAAGGGAGACGGAAGCAAGTTAGCAAATTCAAGATTGTAACTCTAATTTTGGTGATTATTAGATACGTGACTAAAATGCAGTCAGTCCCAGAAGTAATGTCTAAATTCGTTTAAAATTCAGCGGTGTGTTTTATGGGAAGAATCTCGGACTTTTTATGCTTAAGAGTATCTTCTAGAAATAAACTCAAGCTTGCTCCAACATTTAGCATTTACAAATAACAATTGACTAGTTTGGGCTTTTTTCCAAAAAACAATCCGCTATGTTTACAACATCTTGCAAATATTTCTGGGAACTGTATTTTTTTTTATGACACATGTTCTTGTTCTTTCTACTTCTTCTTGTAATAAATGTTGCGCTCCTTACTTTATTGCAATCATTACACGTGATTTTCTCTACCTTGAAGAACTTCTGGTTAAGACTAAACCAGTTTCCCAATGGTTTAAATAAAATAATTCCCCATTTCTGCAGGAAATGGCTAAGTGATATTTAGGTACTTTTTTCTCAACAATTTCCAAGATTGCCTCCAAGGGCAAGAAAGATTCATTGGCGGGACCAACATAAATTTTAATCTTTCTCTGTTCGATAAAATTACAGAAGTAAATCTCTATTACCTTAGATAAATTAGGTCAAAGTCGTCCGATTACTTTGAACTGTTCTCGCAAAGAATTCTTCATACTTTGGACTTAATAAAATTGATCTCTGAACTTTTTTGCTTAACGCAGCACGCTGGAGATTTTATTTTTTTGACTGGTTATCTCTGAAAGTGGTGCGTTTTCGCCCGAAAATTCAAGCCATTCGTGTTTGGGAAACGCCAGGAAGAAATTATTGTGCACAATCAGATCATGTTCTCCTCATATCAAATTGTGTATCATGTGTATCATAAGAAATTGTGTATCATGTACATGTTGCTTACCTGATTTTCAACTTCTATGCTATCATTCTTCAAAATCATGATGTTCCTCAAGATTACGGACGTTTGCACAATCAATGCAAGTATTGGTATGAAAGGCAACACCAACATCTGCAGCAGATGCAATTTTCTGCCTCTTCCGTCGGCCGGATTGATCGACTTTGCACAGCAATATCCTCTGGGTACCGCTTGCGAAACGTCCTCAGAACTTACCGATCTGATCGAAGCATCCTCGCAGTCTTTTATGTGATTTGTGATTGCTTTCTGATTGTTGATAGACATAGCTGGAATTAGTCGATTAGTTTAGGTGTTTTCGAGCCGTTCAAACTCCTGAAGATTCACCAGTAAAAATGATTGAAAAATTGAACAATATATCAAGAAGAAAATACTTTTTGAATTTAGGAGTGATAAAAGTTGACTAAAACCTCGCACAAGAAACATTTAAACATAGTTCTGAAAACATATGAATCTTGTCAATATCAGACACTCTACAAAGCCGGCTTCGAGCCCATCGGCTCTCATCAATCGTGTTTAGCCTGAAAATAACACTCACAAACACGCAATTTTATTTTGCCAATGCAAAATATTTCTTCCGTATGCTTCAAAATGCAGTTGAATTTTATATTGCCTGAACCCGACAGGAAAAAATGACTTCGTGTAACCTTCCTGTCGACCGATCAAGTGTACGTGTTAATTAATAAAGACTTATTGGAAATTTGACTCCAATTATTCGATGGGACATGTTTTTAATTGAATCGCTTTGCTTTCGGCTTCAATTAAGCTTCGGGCGAAAAAGTTTATTACAAATCGGTCTTTCATTGGGAGATTGTTTAGTCCATTGCAGGAAAAGCTCGAACATTTGCATCATCTATCCAGCCAGTTTGGAAATTTACTTACCAGTTACGCCTTTAATCCCTTTTTATATCCAGCCACATAATAAGAAATACCCTTTTTTCAGAAATGTATTTAACGTAAAACGGGTTTAGGCAGTTCATAGCAAGCAAGGCATTTTCCCACATTTGACTAGTTTGCAATGCAAAGCAATGCGATGCGATGCGATTTTTCACAGATAATCCGATAAAACATTATCCGAAAATGCGGCTCACTAAACTAAATGTGTCGGTTGAAAAGTAAGAGTCGATGCTCTGCCAAAACACGCAAAATGTATTTTCGTATGCTGTTTTTTTACGGATAGTGTTCTAAGGACTTTCAACTAACAAATCCCATTGGCGATTGAATTGTGGTGTAGTTATAATCAAAGTTATTTTTAGATAAGTTACGTCGATTAAAACGAGATTTGAAAAATACATTAGAGGCAATAATAGAGCGTGCATTCTATTATTTTTATCGCCCGAATAATGCGCTTAGGGCTAATAGGTAGAACATTAAAAAAAATCCAACGCTTACCGAGCTCTGGCAATTCTAGCGTTGACTAGGTCACATCAATTATCAAAAAAACCCTATAATTTTACGTTTTGAAGTTTTCTAAGATATTTAATTCGCCAAACAACCCTCTCGAGACTGCCCTTCAATAGAGACTGAACTCACTTGTTGCGGAGTTTTGCCACATTTTTACTGGAAACTTGCGCTCCACTTTCCCTCCGCTTTTCCCTCTGATGTGTGAATAATTACTTATCGATATCTTCCGTAGAAACTCTATTACGTGCCGTTTGATGTCTAGTAATGTATAAGTTGGAAAACTATGTTTCTGCGTCAATAATGCCCAGGTTTATTTTAACTGCAATTTTAATTAAAACGCAACAATGGTAAAGATGTTCAGTTGGCCGGATTGTGAACATTTTTTTGGATCCTTAGTAAATTAATTTTTTTAGAGCGTTTCCACATATTAACGCTTTCCAAATTTTGCGGAGGAGGGCAGGAAGCAAAAAATACACAGCTGATAAAGGGGGTTTTTGGTGTTATTGCTGCGATATCACTTTTCCAAACCGAACAATAAAGTAAAATTGGGTCGATTTAAACGGAAAATTATGTAATATTTCATATGTATTTTTGTTATAAATGTTTTTTACAATGCTACAATGCTGTTATTGCAAGTTTCACCTTGTTTCAGTTTTTAGTTTTCGCATGAGCCGTCTTAGAAAAAGGCATGAATGACTCTGAATCCAGCCGTTGCTTCGTAGCCCTTTTACACTTCCGAAGCTCTAGTTTACATGTTATTTTTTAACCGGCAAATAATTAAGATTTAAACTAGGTGGATGCTCTGGTACGGATCCAAATGGGTTCGGCCCAAAGCCTCCTAGAGGGCCAGGCGGTCCGGGAGGTCCTGGTGGTCCGAACGGTCCTGGAGGTCCTGGAGGTCCTGGAGGTCCTGGAGGTCCTGGAGGCTGCAGAAAACCTTCTGGTCCCCCTGGGCCTCCTGGTCCCCCTGGGCCTCCTGGTCCACCCGGGCCTCCAGGTCCTCCAGGTCCTCCAGGCCCTCCAGGTCCAAGACCTCCTCCTCCCCCAGTGCCTCCTACGCCTCCGTTTCCACCCACTCCTCCTAAAATCATGGCAAAATTAACTTTTTTATTTTCTTTAATACACTATTTACCTTGAGGTCCGATAATATGCTCGTATGGATTAGGAACATGAACGTACCGTCCAGAGTCATCCGGTTGGTAACCTCCGGCGCCGTCCGGCCGATATTGGCCTAAAATGAATATTATTTGAATGTTGATAGAATTTAAAAAATTGGTCAAACTAATGAAAGCTTAAACTTATGAAATCCCACACATTAGAAATGCGTCTAAACTCAGTTCGGTTGCACCGATTTTATTTGATTTTAAATCAGTTTGCAACATTTCATGTATAAATCAATTATGTGGGTTTGTCTCAATCTTCCACAAAAATGAATCACTGCCACATTAGATTGTTAAATTTCCAAATTCCTCGCATTACGGTATCGTTCGTAAAGTTCAAGGCGATGATATATTAATAAAATGTAATAATTTAAATAAATATTTATAATCATCCTTGACAATCTGCTAACCTGAATGGTTTCTCTATTAAAAAGATCTTCTGTTCAAGCTTGGTGAGAATCACACACATTTTTGTAAAAAAATTGTTCAGATTCCCACTGTTCGAAAATGACAAGGTGCTGTTTCTAATGAAACAATGATTTTAAGAAAACATGATCAATATAGATAAAATTTAAAAAAATATATTATTTTATGGACGTTTGTTGATGGTTTAGGGTAAAACCAATTAATGCATTTTCAGTGGAATTGTCCCTTTCCATCCAATATTACAAAGCATCGAAAATTGACAAAATAAACAAGAGCACAATGAGAGTCGTCATTAATCTTGATCAATGTTGCACCCCATTAGAATTAAATTTTTCACAAATATAATTTTTTCTGGCCATTTCAACCAACAGAAATGACAAGCAAAAAATGTAAATAATCGCGAAAAAAATTGCCAAGTTCAACAATTAATCACAAATGTCTCAATGGATGCAATAGATCCAAATTGACAGCGCAAATGAAGTGAAAGTTTCCTTATTCACTGCTAATATTTTCAAACCGATGGCTGATGTGGTTGCTCAGAAATGCGTCTCAGAAGAGCATACGTCAGAAATAAAAAACGCGCAAAATTTTTCTAAAGTTTAAGAATTCATTCTGAACAGAGCATTTGCTCAAATAGCACCAAATTCACACAAAAAGTAAACGGAAGCTTGTACTACTGATTTCTGATACCCAGGTTCCAAAATTCGGCGCAGTTGCTCAGATAAAAACATCGGAAGAGCAGAGCGCAAATTTAAAAATCGCGCAAAAACTATCCAAAGTTCAGCAATGAATTATGAAGA